ATTTCCCGGTCAGGGTTCCTGTTGAATAATAATAGCGTCCTTAATGCAGAGAGTTTCCATATATCCACGTGGGAGATTATAAGTGGATGTGGGACCTCTCTCTCAAAGGGGAAAAACATTTTATTTAATTGTCTTTTCTTCCAACAATTTACCCAAAATATTTCTAAATCTAAGATTTGGTCTCCATTATTAAAAAAAAATATTAGAAAAAAATAATTTTCTAGAACCGTAAAAATATTTTGGTAACTTTTGATAAAACTAAATATTTAAAATCCTAGTTACATCCCCTCCCAATAGTTATATATTATATACTGTGAACTATTGTTGTTACTCTTTTGCTTGCATATATAACATCTTTTTTGAAAATTTCTCTATGCCCTCGTTTTCTAAAATCTTCTTCTTAAACCGAGGCTAGAGACTCGAACATACGTCACTTGACCGTAGGCAACGCAAGAACAAATTGGTTTAGTTCACTCTGTTGTTGGGAAAGGAGTGCCGCACAATCGCAAGTCCACTGCCATAAAAAATGCAATTGTGACAAGTGGTATAAAGAAAAATGATGAATTGAAAAGTAAAAAGAATCCTAAACTCGACCAACTATTTACTTTCCACCAAGCCCAACGAGAAGATGAATTGAAGGTAAAAAGAATCTTAAACTCGGCGAACTAGGGTTGTCTTATGATCTGTTATCAAATCCTCTCTTAGGTTCAAGATCGAATATACGAGTTTGAAGAGCATTTTGACAATTTACAAAAGGGAACTAACTTGAAAACATATATTTGATCTTGAGCCTAAAATGTTAATACCAAATGATACAGTAGATAACCCTAGAGATAAGGGATAAGGGACGAGCTAAGTTAAAGATGGTCATTCACCTACTTTTATCCATTTTCATGCAATTGAAATCTAAAGGCTACTTTTCTAGTGAGTAGGTTTTAGGTCAAATCTTAAAATTTTAAAAAGAAAATAAATAGCAAAGAATGACCTTAGTTTTTAAACATACATTTTAAAACCAAGCACAAGAAAACAGAAAGCAAACAAACAGATAGACCCTAAAACAATGATCTCATAGCAAATTCGTACCAACCAGGCAGTATACCCTTCGAGTTTCAGAGATTCGAATTGAACGGGGAAAAGGAACAGAAAGAATCTTCTCAGGAAAAGAGATGAACAACAATGAAGTTATCCTTTACCAGTGATTACACAGACTTTCACCTTCAAAAGGACATAAAAAAAAATGGGAGAAAGAACAGGAGATTCTAAAACTGAGTAAAACTTTGAACTGCATATTGCTTATGGTACACACAATTCTCTTTGTTCAACTCTGAGCTAAATAAGAAGTGCCATAATAGCAAAACCTCTCTGTTCTTTCTCTCATCTTGTTCGGTTTCTTTTACATTCTTTTTCTGAGTGGGGATTTTTGTTATTTCCAGTGATTTAGCCTTCTAATCTCCAGTCACACAATCCTTTTCAGCTCTTTTACCATTAATACGGCCGATACCTTCTCCCATGGTTGACTTCATCGCCACTGCTGCTACCTCCCGATCGACTCGTCGGTCCACCTGAGCCACTGCTCCGCTCACTTCTTCTAGACCGAGAAGGTGGCATCGGTACTCCAGGTTGCTGACTGCATTCCCA